CAAAGCAGCTTCTTCTTCTTCTGTCCGTACAGAGCTCTTCATGAAGGACTCTTCAAGTCTCAAAGGCATTGAACAACAGAACACAGCTCGAGTGTTTCACTTGTGTAGCTGCGAGGGTACACACACACACACACACACACACACACACACACACACTCCTCTCAGAGACCGTATATGACAATGGAGCAGTTCTCTTCAACAGTCCACTTTTTTTTTTAGTGTTGTAGTACTCGACTTTGGACCGTCTCTCCTTAATTTATGCAGCGATGCAAAGATTGTGTGTGTGTGTGTGTGTGTGTGTGTGTGTGTGTGTGAAACACCGTACAAATATTGAGTGGTAATAGTGGAAAATTCACTTCCTCATATTTTAATTCCAAATATGGAAGCGGAAACAAGTTAAACAAATTGTGTAAAACCACACACACACACACACACACACACACACACACACACACACACACACACACACACACACACACACACACACACACACACACACACACACACACACACACACACACACACACACACACGACAAGACAGAAGTGTCATCACATGGTGTGGGAAGATCAACATGGACCAACACTGCCCTCTAGTGTCACTAATGTCTTATTACAAACAATCAAATCAGCATTTTGAAATCTCCTTGTCAATTTCACCACCAGGGGGAGCTATCCCATTATTTACTTTCAGCCACACACACACACACACACACACACACACAGTGGAGTCAAGAAATGCAGCACAGAAAGCTTCTTAATGAAGAGTCCATGGAACAGCTTTAAATAAAACTTTATTATTCGTTTCTGTACCTTTTGAAAGTACAAACAACTTTTTATTCACTTGAATGCAAAGACAAAGAAAAAGTGTTTCACGTCTCTCCCCTTTCTTCCTCACAGCCACCAGTATTTAGTCTACTTGGTCTGTTTTCTTAAATGAAACATTTGTTTTATAATCCATTATTATAAATTTATACAGCAATTTAACAAGTTTGAAAAACAAGAATTGAATTTGTCCCTGTGCTTCATTTGTCTTTAAATTGAATACATTTTTATAATTTAATTTAAATGTATAACATTTTAAATGCATTTAATCTGTACTTTAAGTACCTTTCATTGTTGATCATTTGACTACAAGATAGGAAACGTAGCGCGCTTACTTCTAGTTTCTTTCTAAAAAATGTAAACACGTTTACAATATGGATGTCCATATCTGTTTATTTGCACCTGATCGACTAAGTCCATGTTGCCATAGTGATGATGTAAAGCTTTGATTTGCTGTTGTGGTCGTTCTAGTCCTCGTCATCATTTGAGATGAGGTCAGACCCTTTAGTGTCCCCTCAGGGAAATTTTCCTTGGACTCCGTCTGGCTGCAGTTTAAAAACTGGACAGAATACGGAACAGAATTTAAAAAGAGATTAACAATTACTCAAAAATGATATTCATTGCTAAGGCTTGTCCGAACATACATTTTTGCACATGTTTTGCAGTGTTCAATTTATTTACTTAAACAGCTGACCAGCGTGGCTGCACGATGCAGTGTTTAGTGCTGTTTCCTCACAGTGAGGAGGTTCCTGGTTTGAATCCCCGTCTCACAGGAGCCTCTCTGTGTGGAGTTTGCACGTTCTCCCCCGTGCATGATGGCTCGTTATTTTAACTGGTGCCTCTAACTTCCTGTAGGTGTGAGTGTGGCTGGTTGTCTGTCTCTACATGTCAGCCCTGTGATTGGCTGGTGAACAGTCCAGGGTGTAACCCCGCCTCTCACCCAATGACAGCTGGGATCGGCTCCAGCCCCCACCGACCCTGAATGGGAGAAAGTTGTATAGAAAAAGGATGGATGGAGCTGACCAGTGTGTTTTTTAATATTTACAAATTTGACTCAAATAGGAATAGATATTCTTGGAATCTTTTAAAGCCATAAACTACTGAGTTGATTGTTGAAGGTGACTTTTTCCAAATAAAAGAAGAAGTTAGGATGATTGAATGTGTGAATGCAGCAGGTAGTAAAATGAGTGAAGGTTTAGTTTCCTGTTTGTCTCTTGAAGATCTCCTCATACGAGCTGGAGTGATATTAAACCAGAAACTCCTCCTGCAGGCTCCTCTTTTTTTTTTTGACATAGCCTTTAGCCCTTTGATTTGGATACCTTTGCCTGGATTTTTTGTGTATCCCAACTTTTTGCCTCCATTAAACAGACTTTGAATCTGCCTTCTGTATTTGAGTCGTTGCAATTGGCTTTTTCTTTGTGGTTCAGCGTGACAGCAATACCTTTTAATCTTTCCGTTTCCCCATTAATTAACATTTCCCGGATGAGTTTGTGGAGACACCTGGAAGAAGAAAACTCTCTCAAGTAGCTCGATGTTCAAATATCTTCAGCGAGTGGTCACAGTGTCTTCTCCTTCACTTGGAGCAGGATGAGGAAAGTGAGAAAAAAGTGTGATTTTAAAGAGTCACTGTTAATGATGATCAAGTGATTAAAGCCGCTTCTCTATTCAAGCATCCTTCTCCTCGCTTCAGCATTCACATCCAGCTGGACAGCTCGGCACTACATCACGGTCACACTTGTTGTGATTGAACGTGTGACCTTAAGCCGACAGGAAGCTCTAATCCATCCCGCTGGCCTCCAGGTGACGGCCGACGTGGTCGTCCATGTAAAGAATCTCTCTGTCAACCCTGACATCAATACAAAGCACTGATGACTCTGATAACATCGACTCCATCTGCATGTCATGACCTCCTTTTCTTTACATGTAGACAGCAGTGTGAAACCTCAGAGGGAATATGTCCCTGCATGTTGGTTTGTACGGAGCAGAGCGAGGAGTCGAAAATGAGCGTTTACCTTTAAATCTTTAAAGTAATCGCTTCTCATTTTTGAGACAGAAGAATTCATAAGGCAGAATATTTGACTAAACATCGACATGATCTGCATCAGGAGGTGGTGGAGAAAACAAGAAGCTCCTCAGTTTGTAATTAAAGACGGGACCGATCCGATCTTACATCGGCATCGGGTCCAATATTTACATATCAGACTGACGACGCAGATCAACGTCAGCGGTCAAGAAAATATGGTCGGGCACTTTAAACATTCTCAACTTGTTCAGTCTGAACTTTGAAGACGTTCAGACTGAACTGTAAGTGTCCACAAACCGTCTCCATGACGACGTTCTGACTAGATGGAGCAGCTCCTTCTATGTTATTAAAAAGTACAACTCTTACACTTCAGATTAAAATATTTAATTTGAAAATCCTGACAGTTGTTGCTGCTTCCTGTTTGTATGTGAAGCCGGCACAATGCAAAGCTTTGTGTAGCCTCACACATCATACCAACAACAAGTGAATATTTATTAGGAATCGGATCGGAACTGACAAAAACTGCCTCTCTGTTTGTAACCATCACAGGCTGAGAGGAGACGCAGAGTTTAGGAAAAGCTGTAGAGACGACGCAAACAAGCCTCAATAATCTCCAAAGAAGTGGCTGATTTGTCTGAATATTTCTTTTTAAGAAGTTCTGATGAAGAGCTCGTCTGTTTTTTATTGCGCTGCGATATTCTGTTCAGTCAGCACTTCTTCTCTGCAGCGCTGATCCCATGAGAAAGGTTTGTTCTCGCAGCAGCTGTCAACGTTTCTTTTATTCACCTACTAGTTGCTTTAAGGGGCGCTGATAGCCTGGCGGTTGTGAAGTGTGCTCCGATGTGTGGAGGCCGTCAGCTATCCTGAAGATAGACAGAGTTTCTTTAAGTGTAATGCTTCTGTATTAATCCTAAAAGCTGAGCAGCGACAGAGGTCACGCATTAACCACGGCTAGAAACCTGTATGCACGGCCTCTACTTTGTGTTTTACATATGAAGCGATGTTCACTGCATGTGTCCCTCTTAAATAAACCAATCGCAAAAAACAACAACTTTAAAATAGTTTACCCGGAACCACCATTTTTTTACCGTTTGTTTTTGTAACGCTCACTTCAGCCACATGAGGTCCAAAAGCACCCTTACTCTGTTTTTAGATTTTAAATGAGAATGAAGTCATTTATGTTTTCTACATTGTGTGTTTTCTTTCTATCACTGTCATTCTTTTTAACCAGTTTTTTTGTAAAAAAAATTAAATGGAGCGTTGCTTTAAATAATCCCAGCTCCCCTTTCTTTCATTTTTCTTTTTAACCTTTGTTCACAAATGAGAGAAGCTGCTTAAACAAAGATCCTTAAAGTGTTATTTTATCCTCAAAACTCTGTGTTTGACAGATATAGGATGAGAGGGACGTTGACAGATTATTCAGGTGTTATGCTGAGAATTGCATCCAACTTGTGAAACAGTTTTTATGACGGTACAACTCATCTTTCTGGGGGCAGATCTGTGATGACAAAGTTCATACTTAATAAAACTGAGGAGACTTATTTTTCTATGGAATCGATAGAATACGCATTTCGATTAGCCTGTGTCGATACGACCTGCTCACAGTGTTTGACTCTAAAGTGCGTCTCAGCCTCAGGATCCTCCATGAACTCCTCCAGGCTTCTGACCTTTTTCAACCAATCCGGTTTTTTTTTGTTAAACGATGTTGCAGTTCGGACCTCAGACGTTTGAAAACATGAGACAGAACAAACATAGAGAACAAGAAAAACATGTTTAAAAAGCACTTTATGGACTTTTTGACACCATGCACTCAGTTGCGACCCACTGAAAACATCTCTGTGACCCACTTGTGGGTCCCAACCCACCAGTTGAGAACCACTGTTGTAGAGTTACCTCTAAGGGAGGATGCACAATGCCATATTTTGCATTGTCCTGCAAGGTGCATTTGTTTCCCCGCACAACACCGAAAAATCCCTCTCACAAATCAAAAGCATGTGACAGACGATGAAGTGAAACTTTGAAGTTTTTTTTTTTTCAAGCGTCAGAACCCTGCTCTTTTTATCCAGCAGAGATTTGACATAGCAAACATAGGACAAAATGAACTCCAGCAGGACGTGTTAAATAATACAAAAAAATATGCTATTCACAAAAAGGAAGAGAAGAAAAAGTGTTCATTTTTATTAGCATACATGTCACTGAAACAAGCCATATGAACAGCGGTCTGCAAATGGCTCTGGGTGCATTATCAGGTAATGATGCTCTTTTTTCAGCAGGGGGCGACAAAGTCTCACAAGAAAAATAAAGACATGAAGCAGAACATAGTTTGACATAGCCCTCCTGTCCCATGCCTGTTTCAAAGCAGGCCTACAGTACTGATGTCAGGGTTGTTAAAGTTCCTCTGAAGTGGTTCATAAACACTCTGTGAAATAATGAATATACTCATTTAAAGAGCTCATGTTTCAACCTTTTCTCTTATTGTTCAGTGTATCTCTGCTTACTCAGATCAGATCCAAAGTCTCAGGTTTCCACACTGGCTCCTTTGAGATGACTTTGTGGAAAACCCTGCATCATTAAAAAAAAGGCAGGTCAAGTGTTTGCATACATAGAAGTCCAGTTTCTCTGATGGATAACGATGAACGATTTCTAATCAATGCACATGTAATCCTCTGTGCATGCACGCTGCTAACCTCCAACCCTGACTGTTCTCATCACGTCTGTTGATTGACAGCATGCAAATCAGTGAAGTCTGTGTTGGACTGGATTTCCTCCACACAGCAGATGCTCCGTCTGAGGCCCCTTGATTCCAAAAGTTCAGAGTCCAGTGAAGGTCACGACGTGTTTGCAGTCACATATCTCGGCTCACTGCCTCTTCATTCCCCCCCCTCTTCAGACACCATCATGCCATCATTGTCCTGAATGTCATTGGCAACCATTATTATCCCCTACTGCAAGAAACATGGCCAATTTCTGTCAACTCACTATATCCTCTCTCGCTCTTTTGTTAAAAGCTGCACCAGGCAAATTGTGCAAGGATGCTACCAGTCCAGCTGTGACGGAGAAAAAACATCTCAACTCAGAGCGGCTCAATCCAAATGTCCAGAACCGGACCGAGGTGTGCAGACGTGCAGGCACATACCCAGGAAGATTGCTAATGCCCTGTCCACAACCCACAATGCAACCTGTCCAAAGAAGCATGTCGGCCAGAAATAATCTCAGACCACATCGTAATATTTATAGACATCTGAAGCTGCTCAGGCTATATTAAGTGATGAAAATGCATTTTGATTTGTTGTAGTTTTAGAGCCTGTCTGTGGCTTTTACCACCACCAGCCATAACTTTTTATGACCACCTAATCAATCCAATACAACATAAGCTACTTTAACGACACGTCTACATTTTCAGTTTTTGTTGACATGGTCACAAACTTGATAATTCCTTTTGTTTTATTGCTCCCCTCATGTCGTGTTAATGGAGTCATATTGCGCTCGACTAGGCCTCCAACTACAACTATGGCTTCAATAGGAAGTCAGATGATCACCTTTCTGTCCATGTCAACAAAAACTGAGAAGATAGAAGTAGAGTGAATGGTCGAACTGTTGCATTAGATTTCAAAGTTGTCCATAATGCTACAGCTGATTGGAGAACATCTTTGCAGTCTCCCGAGCTCCAGGACTGGACGTGATGACGCCCATCATGTCCCACTACAACTGATGTCCACAAAGGATCAGTGTGCAGGATCAGTCCAGGTGGTGGACATTTAGATTGAGCCATTCAGTATTGCTGGCAGACGATCTTCTCCAACCAATGGAAATGATGAGTTTGAAAAAAAAAAAAAAAAACGGCTCCAGACGAAGCTGGATTCAAAAATGTTCACTTTGGTTTTGACTGTATTATAAAGCATTTTATAAACAGGTTTGTCAATTGAAAGTGTTTACAGGCTAAATCAAACATGAATACCATCTCGTCTCCATGTGCAAATAATGTGCAAAGTGTGCCAAGTGCAGCTTTTAACAAATCACACAATCTGAATCGGAATCTCACATTTTGATAAATCTTGCTAAACCGTACATTCAAGCCGGTCGACATTCGAGCATCTTTTTGAAGGCTTTCCTGAAGCTGTCGTCCAGGAAGGCGTAAAGGAACGGGTTGAGGCAGGAGTTGGCGTAGCTCAAGCTGGTGATGAAGTAGGAGATGCCGATGAGCAGCGGCGTGGTCCTTAGGTCCGTCGTCAGGGCGACGATGGTGCTGAGGTGGAACGGCGTCCAGCAGAACAGGCACACGGCCAGCACGATGAACACCATGATGGTGACCTTCTTCTTGGCCTTGTCGAGCGCCTTGGCGTTGCTGTTGAGGCGCATGTTCCTCAGCTTGTAGAGCATCATGGTGTACAGGATGCAGATGGTGGACACCGGGATGGCGAAGCCCAGGATGAGCGTGTAGATCCGGCTGGCCTTGAACCAGAGTCCCTCGGGGCTGGGGAAGCTGAGCAGGCAGCTCTTCCTCCCGTCGCTCGGGTCGACGTAGACGCTGGCGAAGACGGTGAATGGCATGACGATGAGGATGACGAGGATCCAGACGCACAGCGAGATGATCTTGGCCGCTCTGTAGGTGCGGTACGGCATGCGCTTTGACCTCACAGTCGCCAAGACGACCAGGTAGCGGTCGATGCTCATCACGGTCAGGAAGTAGATGCTGGAGAAGATGTTGTAGTGGTCGATGCTGAGGATGACTTTGCACAAGACCTCGCCAAAGGGCCAGTAGTGCAGCAGGTGTTCCGCTATGTTGATTGGCAAAACCAGAGTGAACAAATCGTCGGCGATGGCCAGGTTCAGGATGAACATGTTGGTCACCGTTTTCATCTTGGGCGCTTTGAGGATCACGTAGATGACGGCCGTGTTTCCCGTCAGTCCCACCGCGCAGATCACCGTGTAGATGACGGGTAAGATGACGTAGAGGTCAGCGTAGAAGTAGAACTCAGAGGGCGGGGTGCAGTTCATGTCGGTGAGGTTCCCCGACGTCAGGGAGTAGAAGTCCACAGAGTCGTTGCAGAGAGGCGGTGCCCCGCCGGGGAACGAGATATTCTCCATGTTTGAAAAAAAAAAAAGTGAGATTAAAGTCTGTAAATCTGAGCGCTGAGGGATGTGCACTGATTTGGAATCAATTCTCAGTCAGGCTTTTGTTTGTTTTTCCTTTTTGAAGCATTTTCTTTTTTTCTACTTCCGTCATTCTCTCTCAGTCTAAAAAAAGGTCAAAAGTTCAGCAAAGGGGGGATTACCCTCCACTTAGATCACTGGAGATGTAGCTCATTGTTTATTTATCTGCCAGGGCCAGGAAGTCACTCAGCGTGGTATAGCAACAGGTCAACTGTTTAATTTAAGGGTCAGTATTTAGTAGTAGAGCGCTGTCTCAGGTTTCTGGGAATGTTGCAAAAATGAGAGAGAATCCACGGTCAAAAAAAAAACTGTAAAAAGTAACAGAGTGGTGTTCGAGAAACAAAATGTATAAATCCTGGGAAGTAAGTTTATCCAGAGAAAATCTCACCAGTACAGAGTAAGTCCTCTGTAAAAAAATAATAATAAATTTTTATCCTTGATGTGAGATTGCTCCAGGTGCTTTCTGATATAAGTTGGCTGTCATGGTTGAATTTTCTTTTTTTCCCCAGTTCCTTAAAACATATGACACTTTTGATTTCCTCCTTTGGTTCCTTCCTTCACTTTTTCTTTCTGCTGTCGGCGGGGAAATCACATCTTGTCTGCTGCTGTTGCGTTTGTCCTCGCACAAATATATCCCTCCTCCTCCTCCTCCTCCTCCTCCTTCTTCTCCTCCTTAGCCTCTCTCCTCACCCCGGCGCTGAGGACTTGTAATGAGTTTTTAAAGGCTACCCGTGTCCACGATAAAGGTTTACGATGGTAATTTATGGTTATGAGTTAAGCGGTGTTTTCCTCATGGTGGTTCCAGTGCGCTCTGAAGACGGTGCCAAGGTCTTTACGCATGAGCGGCACAGCCACAAACCTGCACGACAGAGAGAGATGAGGACCTCGATTAGTTACCATGCACGCACATTATACATCACTGGGGGGAGAGTGGATGTAGGTCAGTAGACGACAGGTGCAGCCTTTACTAAAACAGCTTATTTTGATTGATTTAAACCAAAAGAAGACAACGTGTTTCATGATTACGCACCGTAAACAAAACGCTTCAAAATGATTTCAGCTATGCAATATAAACATCCTCTTATCAGAGTAGATGAACTCGAATTGATCCAATATGTATAGCAAAAGTTAAAAAACAAGTCTAAAGTTTTTTTTGTAAAAATGTCCTGAGTGGAGAAAAAACACTAAAACAAAAAAAAAACGTTTTCTCTGGTAAACACATTTTATACGAGCAGGTTTTAGAGGGAGATACACTTACTGTTAACTCAGTAAAAATGGATCAGGCATTTTAAATGATTAAGGCAGGTTTACTCACATCTGTATCCCTGGTAAAGTCTCTCCCCCTCCAGTCTTACATCTGTTGGAGACGCGCGCTGCTCTCCAGCCTCCTGCTCCTCTCTCGCTCTCTCTCTCCCCCCCCCATCTCTCTTTCCCCGCCTATATCGCTCTCCCTCTCGCTCGCTCTTCACACTCCACGTCGATCATGTGGTCTGTGAGACTCACGCTGCCCCATTACGTCGATCCCTCTTGAAAGTGACCTCATGTCAAGAAGATGTTTTCCCTTCTTGCTTCTCCCTTCTACTTTACAAAATCACCTGTCCATCAAACTGCCTCCACTGATTCCTCAATCTCTTTTGTCTCTTACTCTAGATAGTGTGAGGTGAGGAAAGTTTGGAGTATTGATTCGTTTATCAAAAATTAATAAAAATCTGTCCAACAACATCAATATTCAATATTATTCTATATATATATATTCTTCTTAAAGACAAACTCCCACACACTGTCTAACTTGCAAACAAACATTTATTGGCAACATTTCAGTACTAGACCTTCATCAGGTGAAAATAATAAGAAAAAAATCTAAACTGATGAAGGTCTAGTACTGAAATGTTGCCAATAAATGTTTGTTTTCAAGTGAGACAGTGTGTGGGAGTTTATCTTAAAGTCTTCGAAGAACATATCGCTCTCCTACGCATCTGTCTTGTGAACAATTTTCCCATTACAAACATCCTCTTGACAGCACACAGAGAGGCTGAATTACTTCTTTTTTATTTCCTTACATACTCACACCAACAACGCGTTTCGCCCACATGGCTTCATCAGCTTTCATAAGGCATTTTTTAAATCAAAAAGACAAAAGTATGCTTAACCTGACTATATGCTTGTAAAAAGGAGGCACAAAGCTCGCTCTGGATGCTGCCTCTGTTATATGCATTTTGAATCTGCATACTGTGTATATATTTTTATGTATTGTTTCCTTTTCACCACTGGGTGTTAAAAATATGAAAAAAATGTACAATGATCGGAAATGTTAATGTATAGCAATAAAAGTAAAAAAAACTTTTTTTTTTTTTTTTTTTTTGAAGTCCAACAACAACAGAAAAATGTTAAATACACATGGGCGGTTCTAGGTAGGGGCCAACAGGGCCCCTGTAACACTGAGCTCGGTCCCCTCTGTGCCCCCCCCCCCTCCAAAACGAAGAGCAAGGTCATAAAACAATACAATTATGTTGATGATATTGCACTGATGCAAATCAAAAGGTGGAACACTTGTGGCTCAACCACAGATCTTAAATCAATAGATTGGTCAACTCCTTCAAATCAACAACCATGAAAAAAGGAATGCCAGTTCTAGCCACTCGACTTCTGTGTGGGCTCAACATTCTCGTAAGACCCTTTAGAGCTGAACACTGACGCTGACTCTAAACATCCACTAATGGACGTTAGCTGCCAGCTCTGAAGCAACAATTTGGTTTCAATTTGGAATCATTTGGTTTTTGGTACAATAAACATTTAGTTTTTTAAGCTAGATCCTCTTTGTCTATTTTTTGTCCTGGGTTGATTGTGCATCTCTGACAAAACAACTGGCCCCGACCTGGCCCACTAGAACCTGGTCTAGAACAGCCTCTGTTAATACACCATCAGTGTGCTGAGAATACACACATAAAACATAAAGTGAAAAAGAAAACCCAGAAAACAAATAGAGCAGCAAAATGCAGAATTAAAAGTCTTCACAACAAAAGTTCTCCAGGCCTCTCGCCGGAGCACAAAGCGAAGCAGCTTTATGTTTAATTTAATGAATTTAGTCTTGATGATTAAATTCCCAGACACTACAGGGGGAAACATGCAGCTTTATAACTTCTACAGAAACAAAGACAACAGTTATACTCTGTGTTTGTGGTGAATCATTTTAAGGAGGAAAAGGTCTCAACTGGACTGTTAGCTCTGCTAAAGCAAACATTAGTGTTTAAGTGTTCTTCCCCTCGATAACAACCAGCTGCACTTTTTTTCTAAATACATTCTCGTACTGATTAGAAGGAGCTCGCCTTCACGCCCATTTAGACAAACTCTTGAAATGTGGACGTTTTGCAGGGGTTGAAATTTTGTTTTGTGCTAAGAGGAAAGTCGACGTTGATGCATTATCTGGAGTCCTTAACACATTATTTTTTTTATTGCAAATGAATTCTGACTTTCTCGATGCATATCCACAGGGACATAGGGCCTTTCACTTTAAATACCCTTTAAAATAAAATGATTCAATTCAGATATCGACCCGGGATGCAGACTCAGCCGTGAAATGGAAATCTGCACTCAGCTTACAGAAGCAACCAAGCAGGTCAGTGCAGACTGAACTTGTGATGTGAAGCCTTATTCTCCTCTAAAATTCTGAGGATTATCAGTGAAATCTTTCAGTGAAATTTTAACACAATTATCCCTCTTATGAAATGTCTGTCTCTTCACTGCATAAACTTGTGGGTCCTTTCTTCCAATGAAGTCATTCACAGCGGTTGGAGATGTAGTTTAGGGATCATAATGGGGCGTATTGACTGCAATAGTAAACATCTACAGTATGCCGAGAAAGAGAAACTCTTCTTCTGCATAAAAATTTTGCAACTTGCACATGCAGTTGTCAGGGTGGTCCGGTGTTTGCATCTATAAACAATGTGTGGTAGGCGCCTCCTCTCAGAGTAGTGGTGAGCATGATGAGCCAGATGGGCTCATGGCTGACAAACTTTAAACCACAGCAGTGGCTCAAAAATGTGCTAAGTTTGCACATTTTTTGCACAGTAATAAACCTCCCTGCTGGGGCCCCATCAGACAGCACTCACTCACTCACATAGCGCTATTAAAGGCTTTAAATGTGATTCTTCACACTTAAATATAATATAAATCAAGTATATCCTCTGAAAATAACTCTGTGAGTCATGACTGTCTACAATGGGTGTAACACCCGAGTCCCACTGTCTGTGATGTTTTCAGAGTTTTCAGAGTCCTATCTTCACTTTGTTTACATCGCCGGGACGGCCGGCTGACTCCTCCCCTCATGTATAAAAGTTGTTTAATTGAGGGACTAGAGAAAAGAAGAATAACATACTGTACTCACTGCTTAACTGTGTTTCTAGATCACGCTCATTTCAGGTAAATTTACATGCAGTGTGAAGATACCAGCAGAATAAAGATCGCTAGCATTAGCATGCTAACACAACAATGCAGCACCAGTTGTTTTGGTTTCATGCAGGAGCTCAAGGGCGACATCTGCTGGATCAAAAAATCCCATATAAAGCCTTTAAGCTGCATGCATTATTCCTGGGAAAAGTTGAGTTTGTTATTGAAAGTCACCACAGGAATGCTGCTAGTTTAGCCTGAATTTTGGGAGAAGAGACTCTTCAACAACATAAGTTCCACTAGCATTACATTATGGTGTTTGTTCTTTGACGTTTAACAGTGGTGGCACTAGGCTGTTTTATTCGGGGCTAAAGCCCCGGATATTATTTAATTAGTCCCGAATATAATTTTTTAGAAAAAATGAATAAATAAATAAAAAAATTCAACTTTCCGACAGTCCTTGAATGCTCCTCGTTTACCGCACGACAACAGAGCAACAAAATCTCTGTTGGTGTTTCGTGAATGAGGCATTTTTTATGTTTGGGCAAAGGGAAGTTTGTGAAAATTGGTATTTTTACCATTGGTATTTATTGGTATATTTACTGGTAACCATGGAATGCATTAATTCAATTCAGTCTAGAAGTGATGAAATGATTCTAGTCACTAATGGTAGTTAGTTATTTGTTGGATGTCCCGTGTGCTTTACACTAGAAAGAGATTCCAGGGGCATGTCAAAATAAAGTAGCCTAGTCCTTCTGGCAAGAGAATAAACGGTTTAAAAACATAATCAGACTGTTTACCACCTCAAGTGAATTAACCTATCTTATCCCCAGTCAGATCCATAGGTAATGGAAGGTCTGTCTCACTTGGATTCATTTTACTCTGAAATAACTTGAATGGAACTTTAGATGTCTGTGGATAAGCAGCACAGCAGTCAGGTAGTTATTTAAAGCTATAATAAACTGCGTATTTTGTTTATTTAGGTAAAGCGTTATGAAAAATTTTGCATGCGCAATAAAGCATACAAAAAAAATTGCCATTTCCCTCTGGGCTAAGCCCCGGGTGTTTCAGAAACCTAGAAACACCCCTGACGTTTACCATTAGTTCACTTAGCTAGCAGAGCAGCCCAGAGTGTGGAGCTCTGCTGGCAGCGACTGAGTAGAGTCAGAGTCAGGACACCAGAAGTCGATTTGTCTATCTCTCTGTTTAGATCTGCACTTCAGTCCTAATGCTCGTCATTTAAACCTTGTGACATCTACCGTACTTTATGCACAAATGGTTCCAAATTAGCTCTGAAAGAAAAGAAGCTGCTTTGAATTTAAGTGCTGCTGACATAAAAATATACAAAACATTATGCAGGTCACTTGAAAAGTCAGTCTCCACTTTTTTTGGTTTCACACAAGCGGTTTCTTCTGGTCCACTGATAAGAGCCATTTTAGCTTCATTTGTCTTAATTTATCATCCAAAGAAAAAAAACAAAGTTTGTCTGCCGCCTGGTGCTGTGCTGGTTCGCCTAGCTGAACAGCCAATCAGAGTGATTTCTCTCTCCAACCACGCCGACGCTGACCAATGCCGACCGACGCCAATTCAACATTTTTTGTAAGAAAGACTCTCTCTTGACAAATTTTGGAATGCACATTTAAATTTTTTTAATAGATCAATAGAACACTGGGAAACAGATTTACGACCCTCTTAAGTCACTAAGGACAAAAATGTCCACTTCCAAAAAACTGCTATAACAATAGAACAGATTGATATATCTCTTAAACAACTCCAGCTGTGCTCAAAACTATCAAACATTGAATAATTATCAGGAATTTAACCCTTAAAATGCCAGAATCATGGAATCAAACTGGCATTTAAAGGGTTATATTTTTGGCATGGACATTTTTGTCCTTAGTGACTTAAGAGGGTAGTAAATTAAACTGATGCCTGAGGGTTAAATTCATCCTCTTGTCAGACACTCCTCCACTGATCTGACTTTCAATCCCTGGCAAAGAGCAGCCTGCAAAAAA